AAAAAAAAAAAGCTGGAAGCATTACACTACCTACTTCAAACTAAACTACAATGCTACAGTAACCAAAACAGCATGGAACTGGTACCAAAACAGATATATAGACCAATGGAACAGAACAGAGGCCTCAGAAATAACGCCATCCATCTACAACCATATGATCTTTGACAAACCTGACAAAAACATGCAATGAGGAAAGGATTCTCTATTTCATAAACGGTGTTGAGAAAAGTGGCTAGCCATGTGCAGAAAACTGAAACTAGAAACTTATACAAAAACTAACCTTATACAAAACTATACACCTTATCCAAAATTAACTTAATATGGATTAAAGACTTAAACATAAGACCTAAAACCATAAAAACCCTAGAAGAAAATCTAGGCAATAACATTCAGGACATAGGCTTAGGCAAAGGCTTCACAACTATTAACACTAAAAGCAATTGCAACAAAAGCCAAAATAGACAAATGGGATCTAAACTAAAGAGCTTCTACGCAGCAAAAGAAACTACCATCAGAGTGAACAGGCAACCTACAGAATGGGAGAAAATTTTTGCAATCTATCCATCTGAAAAAGGGATAATATCAAGAAGTTACAAAGAAGTTAAACAAATTTACAAGAAAAAAACAAACAACCACATTAAAAAGTGAGCAAAAGTTATGAACAGACACTTCTCAAAAGAAGACATTTATGCAGCCAACAAACACATGGAAAAAAGCTCACCATCATTGGTCATTAGATAAATGCAAATCAAAACCACAATGAGATACCATCTCACACCAGTTAGAATGGCAATCATTAAAAAGTCTGGAGACAACAGATGCTGGAGAGGATGTGGTGAAATAGGAACTCTTTTATACTGTTGGTGGGAGTGTAAATTAGTTCAACCATTGTGGAAGACAATGTGGTGATTCCTCAAGGATCTAGAACCAGAAATACTATTTGACCCAGCAATCTCATTACTGGGTACATACCCAAAATATTATAAATCATTCTATTATAAAGATACATGCACACGTATGTTTATTGCAGCACTACTCACAATAGCAAAGACTTGGAACCAACCCAAATGTTCATCAATGATAGACTGGATAAAAAAAATGTGGCACATATACACCATGGAATACTATGCAACCATAAAAAAGGATGAGTTCATGTTCTTTGCAGGGGCATGGATGAAGCTGGAAACCATCATTCTCAGCAAACTAACACAAGAACAGAAAACCAAACACTGCATGTTCTCACTCCTAAGTAGGATTTGAACAATGAGAACACATGAACACAGGGACGGAACATCAAACCCCAGGGCCTGTCGACGGGGTAGGAAGTTGGGGAGGGACAGTATTAGGAGAAATACCTAATGTAGATGACAGGTTGATGGGTGCAGCAAAACACCATGGCACATGCATACCTATGTAACAAACCTGCACATTCAACACACGTATTCCAGAACTTAAAGTATAGTTTAAAAAACAAATGTGAAAGTAAAAAAACTTCTATGGTTAATATTCTCAGAGATAAGAGAAACTATTATATTCATAAAGCAAGCACAGCACATAAAAGTTACATTCAGAAAACAAAAAGGGTGCTCTTCCAAATTAAATATATGATAGCAGAAATGAAAAATTTAACAGGCAAGCTAGAATAAAGTATACAGTCATCTCAGTAAGTAGAGCAAAAACACAAGAGAGAAAAAAAGGAAATGGTTAGACAATCAAACGATTAACCTAGGAGGTTCAATAGCTAAATAGTTCAGAAAGAAAACAGAGAAAGTAAAGAAGAATAAAGTAGTAAAATAAATAAATAACATAAATAATAAGAAAATTTCCTAAAACTAAAGCTAGTAGATATTCAGATTTTAAGGATGTGCTAAGTACCAAGCACAATAAAACAAAAGAAAGCAACGACAAAAAAACTCCTCCTCATACCAAAGCATACCAGCATGAACATGCAGACAAAAAAGAAAACCTAAAAGCTTCCAGAAAATGAACAAGTTACCAACAGGGAGTGGGAGTCCACATGAGAGATGTCAGGAGTAGCACTGGAAGCCAGAGGGCATGCAGCAATGATTTCAAAATACAGAGGGATGTCCTCCAACCTGGAATTCCATATCCAACTCAACCACAGTGTAAAGAGAACTTAGATTATTTTCAGATTGGTGGAGCCTAAAGTAAGTGCCTATCTTCTGAAGATGCCACTGGAAAATGGGCATGAAAGTAAACCAGAAAAGAGAAAAACACAGATTTCAGCAAACAAAATAATATAGGAGAGGCCAGGTGTGGTGGCTCATGCCTGTAATCCCAGCACTTTGGGAGGCCGAGGTGGGCAGATCACCTGAGGTCAGGAGTTTGAGACTAGCCTGACTAACATGGAGAAACCCCGTCTCTACTAAAAATACAAAATTAGCCAGGCGTGGTGGTGCATGCCTGAAATCCCAGCTACTCGGGAGGCTGAGGAAGGAGAATTGCTTGAACCCGGGAGGCGGGGGTTGCAGTGAGCCAAAATCATGCCATTGCACTCCAGCCTGGGCAACAAGAGCAAAACTCTATACAAAATAAGATAAAACAAAACAAAATAAATAAAATAAGATACGAGAAAGACAAAGGAATTCCCAGGAGGGTGAAAAGTAATGACAGAACATGAATTTATTGTTTATCCTAGAGTGAATAACCTTATGGTTTGCTGCAGAAATGTTAATATAATGAGGTAATGATGCAATCCCAGGCCACACTGGGGTATTTACACAATATGTGGTGTATGCATCATGTTACCTTTCTAAAAATCTAAAAAATCTGGATTCCAAAATGCCTAAAGGATTTGGGATTTGAAATTGTGGACCTGCACATACATTTTTATAAGTCCATTTATGTACATTCCTATAAAACTGATATCATATAACATATACAATCTCACACTTTTATATTATTAAAGAATATTTATAAATATGCATTTTTATGGCTGAATGGCATTTGTCCTATGTTTCATAATTTTCTTATTGTTAGACACTGGGTTATATTCAATTTTTGCCTACTATGAAGTAATGATGAGATGGACAGTCTTATGTGTAGTTCTTGAAGACCAATTTCTAAAAACAGAACTACAGTGTCAAGGATGTATGGATCTGCAAAACATTTAAATATATACGCAAGTATCATCTAGTTTATTAAGTAGAAGACATAAAATGAATTAGTAAATGCACAAAGAAATATATAATTACAAATCATAGTAGGGAGCAAGAAGGAAAAGAACCTTGAGCTATGAGAATAAATGGGGAAACTGATACTGAATCACATAGATGTGGGCTCACTAAACGGCAGTGTAGGCTCAAATTAAGCAAACTCCAACTACACACACTGATTTTTAGTTTTACTCATGCTCCAACTCGTCTCATAATCATGCAGTGATAAGTAGAATTAGGCTTTTAAAAGGGCATAGGTTCCAAAGACACGACACCATTTTCAGAGACTGGATTTCTTCTTCCCCTCAGGCACGCTCAGGCTAGGGAATGCTATGCGGGGTAATACGGGTAGGACTCGGATCCAAAAATGTCAGGGGGTTGGGTGAGGGAGAGAAAAAAAAAGAAAAATTACAAGAGGGGAAGAGAAGGAGGTGCATACGAGCCTCAGCTTCTTGTGTATGGGACAAGGACAACAGCTCAGATTTCCTCTGAGTAGCTTCCACTGAGCAAGAGACCTGGCTTAGAATGGCACTCTGTAAAACGGCTTCTGAAGCAGTATCACTTATCTTCAATGCCATACACTTTCTATTCTTTTTTATTGTAATACTTTATTAAAAATTACCATTTGTATTTTACACAATAAGCATGATGCTATAGAACAAAAAACAATCACTTCTTCTAAGCCCAAAAGATTTAGTAAATGTAAGTACTTCTGGTCAAAGGGAAAAAAAAATCACTTTTTGTCAGTATGTCTAATACTAACCCTATGTTCACCCTTATGTATCTTAAATATCATGCCTTTTCTTGGGAAACTAATATTTATTTGACATGATTAGGAAACTCTTGAGTGCTTGCAGTGTGACAGCACTGTCCTGGGGGATGGGATGTACCAATGACTACATCAGGTCTGGCCCCAACCTCATTTCATGGCTTTATGAATATAATAGGGTGAGACAACCAAATAAATCAACAAATAAGGAGATTGCTGATATGGCCAGGAATAAAGGGAATAAACAGGGTGATGTGACTGAGTAATGGGGCTAAGGGGTGAATATGGCCCTGGCTGAGACAGCACATGCTCAGAAAAAGTCTCTCTAAGGAAGTCACAGAAAGTTCAAATAAGCAAGAGCAAGAAATGCCAGGAGCTGAAGGAAGTACACTGCACACAGCAAGAGCAGTGGGGCAAAGGCTGAGGAAGAAAAGGACTTGGCAGATTCTCCGCACAGAAGCAGAGGATGTGGCTCCAGTGCCTTAAGTGCGGGAAAAGCAGTTAGAAAGTGGTTCATGGTAAGAATGTGGATATGACTCTCTATGCAAGGGAAAACCACAGAGGACTTTAAGAAGGCTGATATGATCACCTCTAAATGTTTAAAAATGATGCAATAGTGAAATCAGGGTCACCAGTGAGACTACTTTAGTAATCTAAGCAAGAGTGAATGATGGCTTGGCATAGTTGGTGGCAGCACAGATGGAGAAACCTGTATTTTGAAGGTTTGACTAATGGGTCTTGCAGATGATATTCAAAGAAAGAAGGACTGTAAGAGGCTTTCTAGGTTCTGGGTTTGGGTAGTAGGTTGAATGGTAGGGTCACTTACTGAAATGGAGAAGATCAGTGCTACAGGTATAGACATGGGTATTAAATGCAGGTAAGCTTGTAGGAAAGAACGAACTAGGGTGTGGTGTTGTGTCCATCTGGCATCTGTGACCATAAAATTTAAACTGAAACTAGTTATTTCCACTGCCTGATTTCTTCCCCAGCAATGTCTGACTGTTCTAATGCAGGCTCAGAGGACAAACTGAGTTCATCTAGGGGTGGGGAGTTTGCCAAGGAATAAAATCAAAGTAGGCAATGGTGCATGGACTCTAAAAACTATCTTCACTAGTAACGGAAGAAAAGACAGAACAGATGACATGAAGTAAAATTTGACGTTAATTAGTAATCATCTACAAACTACCCATAATACAGTAAAAAGGATCATCCATCTATTAACTGACTGACAGACATGCTGGTTGAACCATCATCCTATTACAGAAACTACAAAATAAAGGACAAACTAATTATTAATTTTAAGGCAATTTTTCCTTATCTTGAAACTATCCTAAAATTATCCTATAGTAATACTTCTAACAAGAATGAGAAAAAAGTCTTTACCTCATGATTATAATCCAAGATTCCTTTTAATATTTTCTTTAAATTGCTTATCTGTTTAAAGAGAGAGAAAACAACTGGGTAAAAAGCAAAGACAGATCAAAACATAATTTAACATAAACAATTTCTGACCCAACCAATCACTATAGTTAGTCATAAAGTAAATATAAAAAATAAAATTCAAAGGCATATTTAAGTTATTATCATCTTCAAAAGTAGTATTAATGGCTTTATATAATCCAAGAGATTTATAAAACAAATTGTGTCTCCAATTACGTAAAATTTTCAATGCTATGACCACATTAACAACAAGTAGAGGGTAACTGAATGAGACTTAACAATAAATTATTTAGATTTTCTGTGGGTAAAGTAAAAATATAGCATCCTTAATGAAGACCTGAGTTCAGAGCTAGTCTCCCTAGAAAAGTCAAATGCATTTACATAGAGATTGAGTTCTTTTTATTTTATTTATTTATTTTTTTAGAGATAGGGTTTCACCATGTTGGTCAGGCTGGTCTCGAACTCCTGACCTCAGGTGATCCACCCGCCTTGGCCTCCCAAAGTGCTGGGATTACAGGTGTGAGCCACCGTGCCCGGCCAAGATTAAGTTCTAAAGACAGAGTATTAATCAAAAATTATAGTAAAATCTCTTTAACCCATGAAGTATAATGTCTTTAAATTCTTCCCCTATCAGGAAAAAAACAAACTACTATTTCTTTAGTTGAACATCAAAGTAAGTATTCATGAGCCATAATGTTAGGTGAAGGATGGTCAGAATCACCTGCCCTATTTACTGTAAACTATAATTTTTTTCTTTTTCTTTGACCCAACTCATACAGTTTTGTGTTAGGTTAAATGTGTATATGATACAGTTCTATCAATTATTTTATTGATCTAGCTGCCCTTGGCTGGTGTCCGTAGTTGAGATGTCCTAGCACAGAAGCCAATAGGGACTGAGGCTTTCAAATAAGAGCCTGGATCACAGAAATGTGATCCAGTAGTTAATTAAAGGCATATTTATTTGTAAGGAAGAAAATAAACTAAAAAACTTGCTTATTTATTTTTAAATGCCTCATAAAATATGCTTATACTTCTAGAAAAATTTGTAGATATGAAAAATGCATAATATACTTTATTTCCTTTATACTAGGATGTTCATTTTCCCATATTTTTACTATTTGAAATTAGAATACCTTGAAAATCAACTACCATTCATTTAAAATGGTAGTTTTTAAAATCACATTACAAAAAGCTGTATCTTATCTTTATTTATTTATTTATTTTTGAGATGAAGTCTGGCTCTGTTGCCTAGGATGGTGCAATCTCAAGCTCATTGCAACCTCTGCCTCCCAGGTTCAAGCAACTCTTGTGCCTGAGCCTCCTCAGTAGCTGGGATTACAGGTGCCTGCCACCACACCTGGCTAATTTTTGTATTTTTAGTAGAGATGCAGTTTCACCATGTTGGCCAGGCTGGTCTCAAACTCCTGACCTCAGGTGATTTGCCCACCTCGGCCTCCCAAAGTGCTAGGATTACAGGCATGAGCCACCGTGCCCAGTCGTATATCTCATCTTTAAACAATGGCACCATAAAACTAAAGTATAGCATGGAGAATAAGAAGCTCAGTCCTAAATATTAAGACTATGATAAACTTTTCTACCCTTCTCCATATACTACCACTGCCCTTACCCATGACACTGGAGACAGTATATGTGCGTGTGTATATCTGTGTGCCTGCTGGGAGGAGGTATAAAACTCCCTCTGATCAGGCCAGTAAGCAGACACTAAATGATTAGTACCATTATTTTAAACATCATAAATTGTTTTAAACATGCTATAACATTAAAAAAAAAAAATCTTTTTTTTTTGACACTGAGTCTCGCTCTATCACCCAGGCTGCAGTACAGTGGCACCATCTCGGCTCACTGCAACCTCCACCTCCCGGTTTCAAGCAATTCTTGCGCCTCAGCCTCGTGAGTAGCTGGGATTACAAGTGCCCGCCACCACACCTGGCTACTTTTTTTTATTTTTAATAGAGATGAGGATTCACCATGTTGGCCAGGCTGGTCTCCAACTCCCGAACTCAAGTGATCCACTCTCTGCCTTGGCCTCCCAAAGTGCTGGGATTACAGGAGTAAGCCACTGTGCCTGGCCTGCCAGGCAAGAGGCTGAGGCAGGAGGATGGCTTGAGCCCAGGAGTTTGAAATCAGCCTGGGCAACGGAGCAAGACTTTGTCCCTAAAAAAATTTTAAAAATTAGCCTAGTGTGTTGGCATGTGCCTATAGTCCTGGCTACTTGAAAGGTTGAGGTAGGAGGCTTGCTTGAGCCTAGAAAGTGGAGGGTGCAGTGAACTGAGACTGTGCCACTACACCCCATCCTGGGCAACCGAGTGAGACCCGTCTCAAAAAAAGTAAATATAAATAAATAAACTGCCTGTCCTTAAAACAGTGCCAGGTGGGTGCAGTGGCTCACCCCTGTAATCCCAGCACTTTAGGAGGCTGAGGTGGGCAGATCACCTGAGGTTAGGAGTTCAAGATCAGCCTAGCCAACATGGTGAAACCCCATCTCTACTAAAATAATACAAAAATTAGCCAGGCGTGGTGGCGTACACCTGTAGTCCCAGCTACTCAGGAGACTGAGGCAGGAGAATCTTTTGAACTCAGGAAGCGGAGGTTGCAGTGAGCCGAGATTGCGCCACTGCACTCCAGCCTGGGTGACACGGTGAGATTCTATCTCAAAACAAACAAAAAAACAGTGCCATTAAACAGTTTTCATTCACTACCTTAGTAAAAAGAAGGAATTAGATTTTGGCAAACCCAACACTTAAGCAATAAATAAATAATTTTCTTATCAAATGTGTTTCTCGGGGAAAATATAAAGATAACTCAAACTGAGCATGTCTTAAGTCGAGGGGCCTCGCAAGCTTAAATCACTTGTGTGTCTGAGTCTTCACACAAGTATAGAAAAGAAATGGTCACAGATTTCTCCACACTACCAAACATGACAACTACTGGGTCATAACAATCAATTTAATGTTAACAAAATCACAGAGACGGAGAACAAATTAGGGGTTGCAAGGGATTAGGTGTGAATGTGGCTATGGGAGCAGCACAGGAAACCATGTGGTGACAGAATAGTTCTGGGTCTTCACTGTCGTGGTAGCTACACAAAGCTACACATGAAAAAGAGCTACACAGATGTGCACACACCAACACAGAGTGCATGTAACCTTGGTGAAATCTGAATAAAATATGGACTATACCAATGCCAGTTCCCTAGTTTTGATATTGTATTATAGTTATGCAAGATGTTACCCCTGGAGAAATTGGGCAAAAGATACACACAACCTCTTAGTACATTCTTTTTTTGCAACTTCTTGTGAATCTATAATTATTTCAAAACATAGGCCAGGCATGGTGGCTGGTGCTTGTAATTCCAGCACTTTGGGAGGCCAAGGTGGGAGAATCACTTGAGGTCAGGAATTCAACACCAACATGGTCAACATGGTGAAACCCATCTCTACAAAAATATAAAAACTAGCCAGGCATAGTGGCACATGCCTATAATCCCAGCTGCTTGGGAGGCTGAGGCAGGAGATTCACTTGAACTAGGGAGGCAGAGGTTGCAGTGAGTCAAGATTGTGCCACTGCACTCCAGCCTAGGTGACAGAGAAGACTCCATCTCAACAAAATATAGTTAAAAAAATAGTTTAGTAAATTACAACACATATTTTTTTAAATAAAATTAAAACATCACTGTCTAATGTAAGGGTAAAACTCTATTCAGCTATATATACACATACATTTAGGTGGACAATTGGTTGCAATGTAAACTTTATTTCTTACTGTGAGTTTTGGTTAAAGAAGCTTGTAAAATACTTTCATGATACTAGGAAGGAAATGAATATTATCTCTATTAAAAATAACAGTAGCAAATGCCACATGCACTATTCTAAGTACTTAGCATAATATTAACTCATTTCTGTGAGGTAGAAGCTATATCGATCCTCATTTTACAAATGGGGAAACCAAGGCACAGGAAGGTCATAACACTTCCCTGTGGACAATAAATAGCAGAGCTGTCATGTGGACACAGGCACACTAGCTCCAAAGTCCATGCTGTACTGACTCATATTATGTCATGCATAGCTATATAACTCCAGGTGACTTCAATCTTTAATTCTACATTATTTCAATTACAGGCTACCTAAGTTTCTAAAGCTCACTGGACACATCAGACAAAAAACAAAACAAAACAAAACAAAAAAAAAACAGATATTATATACATACAAATATTTGAAGATTTAACAGTGGAAAAATGAAATACCTTTAGCCTCCAATTATCTCCTACTTCAGTTTTGATTCTGTTTAGCCAATTTTCATCAAAATATGCAGGATCTCTGCAAAATAAGGAAAAACTTACATATTAAGATTATGTAGCTATCAAGCTAAACAAAAAAAATTGAATCTTATCCCGTACATCACTTACCTATAACATAAAAATGTATTTGATACATATTAGCCACTAAATACGTGTTAATCATAGTCAAGTTGGCCCGGACGTGGTGGCTCACCCTGTAATCCCAGCACTTTGGGAGGCTAAGGTGGGTGGATCGCTTGATGTCAGGAGTTCAAGACCAATCTGGCCAAAACAGTGAAACCCTGACTCTACTAGAAATACAAAAATTAGCCAGGCCTGGTGGCACATGCCTATAATCCCAGCTGCTCAAGATGCTGAGGTGGGAGAATCCCCTGAACCCGGGAGAGGGAGGTTGCAATGAGCCGAGATTACACCTCTGCACTCCAGCCTGG